GTAGTTTCTAAATTTCTATACTACAACCCCTGCGGTTTTGTGCTCGTGGCTGCGGTTCCATTTTTGTGACTGAGAAACGTTACGCTAATATGTAACCATATTGTGAAACATTCCGGGCGATCATCCAATCAGATTTAAAGCCCGCTATGCTCACTGAACGCCAAAAACATTAGCGAAATGCCATAAAGAAAGACTGTGGCAATAGATTTATTATTATCATGATCGTGAGAAAAAAAAGAAATATTATTATCGCAAGAAATTTTATAACACGATATGATTCGAACTTGTAAACAAGATCAGCAGTGGCTTTGCTGCTCGGTTCTTTCTAAGCCAAATGTATACTCTTTTTTTAGTTATTTGGTTAGCGATCTATAGCTTTAGTTTATCTACCCTTATCATATTTGATAAAATAACGTGACATGTGATGCTATGTATAGAATATGGCTATGCAATTTTTTAGTTGATCTGTTTATCAACAGGTCGAGCTATCGGTAGAGATTAGATCCCTATCCTTCATCAGCTTCGTTAGATTTTTCCAATTTGAGCCATTGGCCCCATTCGCTCCATTGATAGCTTTCTCAATGGAGTATATCCATCGCCAACCCTGCATACATTAATCTTATGTAAGGACCGAAAGATAGCTTGAATCGAAACACACGATAATATAAACGACCTCTTCAAACTCGGGGTTGTAGTAGAAATTGTATACATATATCAATTGAATTTACATAGTTCAACTGCTTTTAAGTTTACATATCGATAGTTGCAAATTAGATTACAAGAATTATGAATAATTACAGAAATGTTGATCAGATTTTGTTAAAAGGAAATGATTTTTATATTATGGACTAATGAATCGATAAATCAACAATATTGGAATATTTATAAATGATGTCACTTATTTTTTGCAAAATTGAAAGATTATGATGATTTATATTTCGTAGAAAATGTTGACGGGAAGAAGGTAAATGGGGTATGGGACAAGACTATCAATTTATTAAGCGGAAACCCATTTTCAGAAAGACATCAAATATTCAAATTTATTATACGATCTGTCTACGACGCTAGCTTTCTCAGCGAAAATAAGATTATATATTTACTTGAACGATTACAAAATGCTGATGATAACTTATTAACTAAAAAGCTTAAAATATGAAAAATACTTTTTCGCATGATGACGAATGACGAAACCTAAACGAAACTTCTGCTGAGAGTCGAAGCCTTAAATTCTTCTGACGAAAGACGAAACCTTAAACTTAAAATGACGAAACCTTACGCTCAAAAGACGAAATCCAAGTGTTCCCACACTAAAAAAAAAAAAAAATTCATTATTATTTTCATCGAAATAACATTCATAATTTATTCAAAGATCAGTATCCGAAATTATGAATTTGGGTCAAAATCCCGAATAATGGATCCCCGAAAGAACGTAATACCGACAAAGTTAGCCGGCACTAGCCATAATGCTGGCCAATTTAGTCGGTATTATATTCTTTCGATAATCTGTTGTTCGGGATTTTTGACCCAAAATCCGAAATGATTTATATGTATTCCAGCAAAAATAAACCAGTTCATTTTTTTCTGGACAACGCTAGAGTTGTTATAGATCTGTTAATAACCTTGGCAAAAAGCCATAGTACTCATGGAATAACACAAATAATACAAATAATGAATTAAAAACATAATGGCACAAAATAAAGTTGTAAAATCACAAAGTTAGCACCAAGCGATTTCTTCCTAGAACTGATATGTAGCGCACTAGTATAATACAATATAGAATACTCATTTCTTAAACAGTTCAAGCGCTTATTATATAATAAAATTTTTTGTAATTTTTATAAATTTCTGCTTGTTGGTTAATTTTTTTATACAAATAATCTACATTTATTTGTATATTCGTCTTTTGTTAGCTTTATCACCCATTACAGTTTCGTCAGTTTCATTATTTAAAAATCTTAATTGCCGAAGACGAAACTAGGTTTCGCGTTTCGTCAGCGCGATTCGTCTAACAACAATACTAAGAACCGTCTAAAACATTTAAAGACTAATGAAAGCAATAAATTTTCTACAATAATTAATAAAATAATTGAGAAAATACTTATCGATAATTTTCTCGTAGTATGGGAATTGAAGAGAATGAACCCTTATTCAAATGTTGCAAAGAAGATGCGGAGATGGGTGATATTAATGCATGGGTGATATTAATGCAATGTTTACTCTTGGTACTTTTAATTAATATGGAATTGGAGTCAAAAAAGATGAAAAAAGGCATTCGAATACTTTCAAAAAGCTACTAATATAGGTAATATTTTTGGTTATGAAAATGGTATTGGGAGTGAAATAATGATGGTGCAAAAATTCGACGGTCCCATGACTAATTCAACAACAACGATATCCTAATTTTCGTTTAAAAATTAATGTTTGCATTGATACAAAGTAGAAAGAAAATGTCTAAATTTTTGTGTTAAAAACCTTTTACTTAAAAAGACTAAATTCCTTTGAGGATATGAGTTTTTAGCGATTTCTGTTTTTTTTTTGTTTTTTGTCTTTATTTTTTTACTGATCTTACGGGACCGCCAAATATTTGCGCCATCACTGGTATTGGAGTCAATAAAGATAACAATTAGCATTCATTTATTAATAACAACAATATGCAGATTTAGGAGATTCTTTGAAGTTAAACAATGCTGGGCTTTGTTATGAAAAAGGAATTGGTATCGAAAAGGATGAACATAAAGCATTTAAATACTTTCAAAAAGCTGCCGATATGGGTGATGCTGCTGGAATATGTAGTATTGGTGATTATTATCAAGATGGATTTGGAGTTGAAAAAGATGAATAAAAAGCATTTGAACACTATCAAAAAGCTGCAAATTAAAATATATTCGGGAATAGATAGAGTTGCATATTGTTATAAATATGAAGAATGAACATTTGGCATTTGAATATTATCAAAAAGCAGCAGAATTAAAAAATTATGGAATAGTTAATGTTGGTATTTGTTATGAGCATGGAATTGGAGTTAAAATAATTAATGAAAAGCATTTGAATATCATCAAAAAGCTGCTTATATTAGTCTTGCTTATGCATATTTGAAGTCGGAAATTTTTATGAGCAAGGAATTGGAGTAGAAAAAAATGAAAGCTGATGATATGGGTTTGGGTGTTGGAACATATACGGTTGGACGTTGTTATCACAATGGAATTGGAGTAGAGAAAAATGAGCATAAGGCTTTTGAATATGAACAACAATCAGCAGATATGGGAATGATTTCACTTGGTAACCGCTATATTTATGGAATTGAAGTCGAAAAAAGTAAACGGAAAGCATTCAAATATTTTCAAAAAGCAGCAAAATGGGTGATTCTGAAGGAATGTTACAAGTTGGTTACCTTATAAGAATGTTATTGGAACTTCAGTAGATATGGAGAAAGATAATTATTGGTTTGGATTAGAAAAAACTAAATTTATAGGTAAATCGAATCAGAGTATAGAGATCTTGATATTGATGAGGATATAAAGCTATTATTAAATCAAAATCGGTACCAATTAGCTTGGATTTCCTATAAAAATGAAATCCATTTTTCAAGCTATACTACTGATTTTTTATTTTAATATATTTTTTATTTTAATATATTTTTGATCTATTTATTTGGTATATTAATATTTATTAATAATGATTTTAATAGTTAAATTCATATTGTAAAATTGGAATTAAGCAACCAGCATTTATTAAATGTGTTGGCATATCAAGAAATAAAGAAAAAAACTACATTCTTGTATTAAAATATGCAGAAATGAATTCTTTACGAAAAAATCTTAATTCTCAATTAGATTTGAAATCCAGGCTAAACATACTATTTTGTATAGCTTCTGATTTGGAGGCAATACATTCCCAAGGGAGATTTGCACAGTGATAATATCTTGCAAAGATAATTTGTATAGTGCATATATCGCAGATTGGGTCTTTCAATTCCATATCTAGCGCAAGAATAATGTAAAGTTTATGGTATTTTACCTTTTATTGCTCCAGAAATTTTAGAAGGAGAAGAGTATACTACATCATCAGATATTTACTCATTTAGTATAATTATGTGGGAAGTGTTATTTGCAACATCTGTAAAAAAATATTATAATTCAAATGATGTTTACGATGTTTTAAAAATAATTAATGATTTTCAACTACCTCTTAATGAAAACGCACAGCAAAAATATGTAGATTTTATGAAAAGATGTTGGAATAAGAATCCAAATGAACGGCCAAAAGAGAAGAGCTTTGTAAAATTTTTAGAAAATAGCAAGATAATGATCAAGTTTTGTATGAATTAAATAATTCACATGAATGGTTACTACGAGCTCAATTATGTAAGGATTCAAAAAGATATGCGGTGACAAATTTGAAATAGCAATTGCGCTTAAATATATTCTAACACCTAAATGTATTGAAAACTGATATAAAAATAATAATAGTAAAGTATATCTAGTCAACTTGTTTTTTTAAAATCTATTTCAAATAATAGCGCAAGTAATAAAATAATTAATTTATCGCTATGGAGATAAATTACAAAGCCCTTAATTATTTATTACTATTTAATTTTTATTTTAATCTTTATTTAGGTTTGAAAACAAACTTATATTAGATTTTAAATCTGAATCAAATAATAAAAAAAGTAAGTAATAAAAAAATAAAATAATACAGTAATAATTACTCTTTTATTTTCTATTTTAATTTTAATTTTAAATTTAAATAAGAATGAAAATAACTTTGAATCAAAACAAAATAAATGTGTTTGCTTAAGTAATAAAATAAATAAATATAATAGTTATAATTTATTTATCATTTTATTTTAAATTATTTAATTTTTATTTAGATTTAGAAAATAAACACATCAAATTTCAAGTCCGAATTAAATGATAAAAGAAGTAATTAAAAATAATATAAGTATTTTTTTATTTTAATTTTATTTAAACTTAGACTATATATCAAATAAAGATGAAAGTAAGTTTGAATCAAGACGAGTGAATATGGTTGATATCGATAGTTGCATTAAAGAATTTCAACTTAAAGCTACGGAATATGATAAAGTGATTGAATGAATTCCGGGAAAAAATAAACACATTTACACGAGTAAGTAATAAAATAATAATAATGATTTTTCTAGAAGGTTTGATTATTTACTAAATTCCTTTATACCACATGCTATAAGTATGTATTTGAACTAATAAAGGCTTATTCAACTTTAAAGACTAGATATAATCTGTTTTAGTGGCTATTTACTTCTCTGGTTATTACTTGTTATTCTTAATTTTCTGAGAATGCGATTAATTGCTAGCCTTGTTAATATTACTTATTTTTATATTTATGACAATAAATAAATGCCTTATTTTCGTCTTTCTCAATTCCAATCTCATGATAATAACATCAGAATCACCCATATCCACGGATTTTTGAAAACAAATGAATGTTCATCTTTTTTAACTCCAATTCATTTTTCACAACAATTACCGATATTATTTGTTTCACGAACGTATTTTTCAATAGCAGAATTGATAAAAATGGAAGCTTTTCGTTTATCATTTTTATATCAGCTCTATTTATTTCATCATCAGTTGAACTTTTGATGATTTTGTGTGTCTAGCAATAGTTTTTAATAATTTTTTTTAAAGATTATTATAATACACTTGACAAAAAAAATACAAATATTAAGTTTTATATTATGAATATTTGTAACATACCAAACAAATACACAGAATTGAATGATCGAAAAAGTTTGTAAAAATAGTTGGATAATTTTCTTAAAGAGTTGAACAGAAGTAACTTTGTGAAAATGTCAATTACAAAATCGATATTGTTGTAAGAAATAAAGTGTTAAAAACCATCAGTTAGATTGTATCCTACTATTTAAAAAGGTAAAAAGCATCAAATTTCTGATAAAAAATAAAAAAAAAATGGTATCAAATTTTGGATGTCTAGATCATGAGATGTGCAATACAGGATAGAACTGCGCCGAAAATATTTTTTGCATGATCTAGTGACCAAAATTTGATGATTTTGGCACCATTCGAATCGTCTCATCGGATGAATCGAATGGTACTAAGATTGTCAGATCCTAATTACAATATCTTGAGGTCGTCAAGTTTTTATAAAAGGTATTTA